CAGTAGGAGGCTTAACAGGGAATTCAAAGGTTTGTAAACTAAACTGAGAAGACACATCACATGCTGAAAAGACAGTGGTGGATCACTTCCGCACTGCAGCCAAGAAGATTGCATGGATGTGTCCATGAAGGTGTCAGAAGCTCCACTGCTTTTATTGGATGGGTCCTCTCCCTAAAAAGAACAGGGACACAGTCCATTCCCAGAACTGAGATTTACCTGCCGGACAGATTTCATCTCCTCCTTGATGAGGACTTTCTCTTGTTCCTGTTGATGGGCCTGATTCTTACTACTTGCAAGCTCTGATTTGAGAGCCGAGATCTGGTCCTCGAATTCTCCTTGTTTTTTCTGGGCATGCTTTAACTCCAGACCGAGATCCTGGACTTGCTGAAGCAAGGCAACGTTCTTCTGCAATTAAGTTGTCGTTAAGAGCGATCTTTCAGATCTCATTTTCATTCATAAACTACAGACAAAGCGTCCTTCGGAAAGGAAACCACAATCCACCTCAAAATACAAGCAGGTGGAATATAAACCAGGAAAATGATTTGGCCTTGCAGATGAAACCTATCGCGCCAGACAGCAAAGCTGGAAAAGATGAAACCGGATTAAAGCTTCTAAAGGAGCCAAAATCTTTAGGCCAAGATATACAGGATTGCAATTTATGAGCCACTGCAGAGAGGGTGATCGGTAAGATTGGCCCTGTTACAGAGAAGGCCTGGCTTCTAGCAAAACTTTATGGACAATTTGTGGCCTGAACTCAAGGATCTTTTTTTTAAACCCACCAGTTTGATGTTCTTGTAAGCAGCTCGGAGCTGGCGTCTTTCTTGCTTCATTTCCAGTAAATTTGTGGCTACTGGGTGGCTGGCTGAGCTCTGCTCTCCCTGAAAGAACCAAAAGAAGAGAAATATTCTTGGGTTCTTAAAAAACAGCTCTCAGACCTTCACGTCTAATAATGGTGAATGTTCTGCCCCAGACAGAACAGACGGCCTTAGTCCTATCCAGGACAGACAGATAACTCAGAGGAATAAACAGAAAATATTGCTTTATTCTGGGAATCCTAAACAATGACTTACAGTTATGTAGAGATACGTCCGAAAGTATATTTCAGCAATATTGGTTCATTCCACAGGTAATTTGATAATGGATTTTCCCCTCTTCTTCTGCATAAGCATCACATGTTGGCATAGGACCTCCAAGCCGTGTGGCTAGGAGACATGAGGCTGGATGAACAAAGTCATTCCAAACTGGGCACGTAGCCAGTATGTCCTGAGAAGAGCTCAAAGGCGCCTCCTAATACTGACCTGTTAACATGAGATAGCTAACTAGCTAAAACTACATTTCCCATTAGCCATCTCTTAAGGAGACAGCACTTAACCCAATAAATGCCAAACATGATCCAGAACAGTGAAGTCGAAAGCTGACTGAAACAAGGGGGATGAGAAAGAAGCGAATGGAGGAATCTCAAGGTCTGGAGAGAGGGATAGAAACATTGGAGAAGGAGGGCTAGAGAGGCCTGAAGGCAGGCATTGCCCAGAAAAGACTCCGTGGCCATGGAACTGAACGTTTCTCAGTTTGAAGCGAGTGGCAAATGGAATGGAGTCCCCTGCCACTGAGAAAAACCCCTTTGTGTACTGCTTATTTCTTTTCCGCAGCACCACCCTTCCCACTACTGCCTACTGCAGTAGTCAAGCGGCACACTCGGCCGCCCATTCAGACTAACCTCCTGAACACATTTCAGCTGCTGCACCATCTCGTTTCGTTTTTCTTCCAGCGTCTTGATGCAGCTCTTCAAAGCAGCCAGACTTTTTTGAAGGTTTCGTAGCTCGTGGCCGACATCCCACTTTTCCTGGGACTGAAGAGAATATTTCCATTTTTATTTTTATTTTTCAGTTTGCACACTTATTTTGTAGACTTCGAAGCAACCCAGGTCATCTTCCTGACTATTTTATCCAGCTGCACCCTTGGTCACCCTCATCTTCTTAGCAAACTACAGTAGTGGCCAAAATTGTGGAAACCTTTTGGGAAAAGTGTATTTTTGAGGTTTGATGGCTAATAACACCACTTTGTTTTTTGGAGTAGTACCATAAAATGATATATCAATAGAAAGATAATTTAATCAAGAACATAGTTTGTTCAATTATCTGTACTGTAGTCTATGAACAGTTATAGCCAAATAACCAGAAAAAGGAAGCACAACTTGCTCAGGATGATCTCAGGTAGCTCTCCTTCATCTGATTGTAGCCAATGAGCGTGAGTGTTTAGAGAGCCAATCAGGCGTCATCTTGTTTTGGCAATGAGCCAATCAGATCTCAGTAGGATTCAGTTATCGATGTCATGTATTGAAGCCGAGAGGAGGATATTTGTCAGTGTGTTATATGATCGCTATCATGTTGGCTGGGTTTTTTTTCCCTTTCATTTAGTGAGCTTGTAAAATGTAATAAAGTTAAAGTAATGGTACAGAGAGTTGACTGGTCACCCAGAAAGCAATGTAAAATAATATTACTAAGTGAACAAGGCTACAGTTATAAAGAAATTAGAAGAAAAATGGGTGGAAACTTAACCAAAGGTGGCATTTCTGCTGTACACTTTTCCCAAAAGGTTTCCACAATTTTGGCCACTACTGTAGGTTGACAGGAACAAGCAATTTCCTCTGGACCATTAGTAGACAGTAAAGCCAAGGGAACTTTGGACCCAGAGTTGCCCGCGCCAGGTCAGCCCTCTAACCATTACATCACACAACCTCTCAACTGAAGAGATATACTACTACCAGGAGAGAGCTGAATTACAACCACAGCCGAGCACAAAAAGGTCTTTTGCTAAGCAAGGCAATTGCTAAGCCAGTTTTGCTCCATGTTATGACCTTGTTGCCACAGCTCTTAAGTGAATCACTGCAGCCGTTAAATGAATCAAGCAGTCGTTAAACAAATCTGTCTTCCCCCATTGGCTTTGCCTGTGGGCAGCTGGCTGGGAAGGTCACGAATGGCGATCGTGTGACCTTGGGACAGTGCAACAGTCTTAAGTCCCTGCCAGTTGCCGAGCATCAGAATTTGGATCACGTGATCCTGGGGATGCTACCACCAGCCCTATGTCACTTTTTTCAGCGCTGCTGTAACTTCAAACAGTCACTAAGCGAATGGTGGTTAAATGTTGTAAATGTTTCTCATCCTTTGAGGTGAGGACATTACATTTATGGTGACAAAACCTCTAAAACTAAGGCTGGGATTTGTTAACAATTAGATGGCCGTGCCTTTCGTGTATTTTGCACAAGGGGCAATGCAAAAGCAGTGGTTTATTTTACATAAAANCATAAAAGTGATGGGCACAAATAATGAATTGACAGTTTGTCTCCCAGGTCTTGCAAAGCTACTTCGGCGACCCCCCTGGAGCTTACAAGACATCACAACATCTCACCCAAAGATCTCCCTAATGCAGGGGTCTTCAAACTTGGCCCTTTTATGACTTGTGGACTTCAACTCCCAGAATTCCTCAGCCAGGCACTGCCTGGCTGAGGAATTCTGGGAGTTGAAGTCCACAAGTCATAAAAGGGCCAGGTTTGAAGACCCCTGCCCTAATGTGTTGCACCACAATTCCCATAGTTCCTCAGGTAGCACGGCTCTTGCAGCATGGCTAACCTCCACACTAGCAAGGTAGGATGGGATATGACCCAACACACCTGCAAAGACCCAGCTGGAACGCGCTAGACCACGTATTTATACTGCAAAGGTCTGTTTTGAAGCATGAACGATTCAAAAAGTACAGGGATGGTCAGGACATTCCATTCTCCTAGCCCACATCTCCTTTGCACTCTTGCAGAATTCTGCCTCATTGCAGAATTGCGAAATAAACCTAAGCCTGGGGCCGCTTCAAAGCCAGGTGTTAGATTTGGAAGGTTTTCCTTACCACCTCTTCACTCTGTCTGAAACACTGGGAGAGCAAGGGGTGATCCCTTTTACCAAAGTAAGACTTCGTCTTGGCCAATTCCATTTCCACCTTGAAGATCCTGAAAGACACGCCAAGCAAGAAGACAGATTCCGGTATCTCCAGCAATATTCTAGGGCAGTGGTGGCGAACCTATGCCATGCGTGCCAGAGGCGGCACTCAGAGCCCTCTCTGTGGGCATGCGTGCCATGCACCAGAGATGGCAACCGTCCCTCTTCAACCAGCCGCCCGCTAACTCGCCGAGGTCCCATGTGGCCGGATGCATCCCGGCATGGCTGGTTTCCCTCCCCCGTCCCATCCCTCCTGGCCTCCCATGCTCTCCTTTTCCCGGGCACGATCCACTGCATCGCCTCCTCAGCTGTCGGCCAGCCGTCCAGCTCAAAGGCGGCTTCTCTGAACTGGCGGCAGGCTGCGGAGCCCAAGTGCGCCGGTCGAGGGGCCGGCAGGCTGTGGCTGCTGATGGACACTGTCGGCCCCCATGGGCTCGCTGGCCTCTGTGTGGGGACCGATGGTGTCAGGCAGCCGGCCCGGCCCCTGCCTCGTCTTACCCTGCGACAATGGCAGCCCAGCCCTGCCTCGCCTTGCCTCGCCTCACCCTGCAGAACAAGCCTCCTGCCCACCGCCGCACCTGCCAGAGACCCCCTGGATCTCCCCCAACCCTGCCCGGCCCCCACAGGTGTCCCTCCCCATGAGCAACATCGAGGTGATCACGCCCACCTTGGCCACACCCACCCAATCTGCCATGACCACCACAGCCACGCCCACCCAGTGGGCCACGCCCACCTGGCACCTGGCAATAAATAAGTGGGTTTTGGGTTGCAGTTTGGGCACTTGGTCTCTAAAAGGTTTGCCATCACTGCTCTAGGAATTGTTAATAGGAACATCTTGGTTGTCTAGAAGCCACAAAATAGCCACAGGGTTATGAAATATTGCCCAGTTTCAGGACCAGACAGAGTTGGCTTCTTTTGAAGAACGGCAATGTGCGGCATGAGAAAGTTTCAACGCCTTCTTCCTTTATTTCTGATGTACAACACCCGCCCCCTGTTCTCAAAGAAGGGACCTACTCACTTCTCATCCAGTTCCCCTTTTCGCTTCCTGCCTTCCGAACGGATCCCGTCCAGCCACTTTCTCTCCTTTTCTAGGTAGGCAAAGGAGCTCTCCATCTGCTGCAGGAAAGACAAGGAGTCAGGGGAAATTTCACAGGCAGGCCTGCACGTTCACCAGGGCCTGGCGGGGAAAAAAAATCATCTGTATTTTCTCCCTTAACGATTCGGTTCGGCGGAAGAGAATTTGCCCTAGAAACTCTTTCACGGAGAAGATCATTGGCCCCGTTTTTACGACCTTTCCTGCCACAGCTGTTAAGTGAAGTGCTGCAGCTGTTAAGTTGGTAACACAGTTGTTCAGTGAGTCCGCCTTCCCCCACTGACTTGGCTTGTCAGAAGGTCAAAAAAAAAAAAAGCTGAGAACCACGACCCCGGGGGACACGGCAACTGTCATAAATACAAGTCAGTTGCCCAGCGTCTGAATTTTGACCACATGACCATGGGGGACGCTGCAACCATGTGAAAAATGGTCATAAGTCACGTTTTTCAGTGCCATTGTAAATTTGGACGGTCACTAAATGAACCGTTGTAAGTCGAGGACTATCTCTACAGTCGGCAGATTGGGGAGAGATCCTACATTACCTTCTGTCTAAGGGAACCGAGCTCAAATTCCATCATGTCAACTTCCAGCTCAAGGTTCCGTCCTCCAAATTCTTTTGGCTGTCCTGCAAGCGAGTAGCCAGATTCTCGGAGCTTCGCCTTCCTTTGCGTCTCTTCCAAAAAGTTTGCCTGCAGATCCGGCTGCGAGTCGCTCCATCTCTTACTACTAGCCAACGGCTGATCGGAATTAAAGTCCTCCTTTTTAGGGTTAGGAGGGTGAGATAAGGAATTCCTCCTCCGAAGGGTCGAACTGGGAGAGAGTAGGCTGTACTCCGGGCGCCTTGGAACATCTCTGCCAAAAATAAAGTCACCCCCATGTTGTATTTTTAAAAGGATTTTGGAGACAGAACTTCCGTCGGGTCTCCTTGTGGATACGTAAAAGCATCCATGGTCTTGTGTATTTGTTAAATTTCTACACTGCCCGTTTCACCGAAGTGACTCTGGGCGATTTACAATCTATATAAATAAAAATGTAAATGTTCGTTTGTTCAAAATCTTAAATCTCCAAAGGTTCTTCACCGATTGCTTTGAAATTTTGACACAATGTTGCATTCAAATACATGCGTGTTTTTATATACCTATATTACAGTGGTGGCGAACCTATGGCATGCGTGCCAGAGGCGGCACTCAGAGCCCTCTCTGTGGGCACGCGCGCCGCTGCTGCCAGCAACTTGTGCAGGTCCATTAGGCCGCCAGCCCCCACAGGCGTCTCCCCCATGAGCAACATCGAGGAGGCCATGCTCACCCCAGCCACGCCCCCCAGTCTGCCGTGATAACCGCAGCCATGCCCACCCAGTGGGCCATGCCCCCATGCCCTCCCTGAGGCCACCACAATGCTGATGCAGCCCTGGCACTTTGCGATAAATAAGTGGGTTTTGGGTTGTGGTTTGGGCACTCGGTCTCTAAAAGGTTTGCCATCACTGCTATATTATATAGATGCCACACCTGTGACAGGTAAAACATGCTTTTTTTTGAAAAACAGCGCCATCTGTTGGACGTAAAAGCAACACACGCTTTTACCAGACTGAGCCACAGCAACGCGTGACTGGGTACAGCTAGTAACATAATAAAACAACATAAAGACAGCCAGTTCCTACAGAATCTGCAAGCTCTTTAAAGCCGCTTGAAAGAGGCTAGCTGCATCTCTTCCCCCTGAGGTGGAGTGGCTGCCCTTTGCAGCAAGCTGTGATTTCCCAAAAAAGACAAGGCTGCTTTAAAGAGCTAAAAACAGGTGTCTGCTCTAAAGCATCTCTGAGAAACCGAATCCAAAGCCCCTGCTTATCTCCGTTATTAGCAACGAAATCCCAAACCCACCATTGAGCCGTACTGCTCTTAAGAGTTTTAACAGTAAACAGAATAACAGAGTTGTAAGGGGTCTTGGAGGTCTTCTAGTCCAACCCCTTGTTCAAGCAGGAGGCTCTATAGAGAGTGTCTTTTTAAAAAAAAATTCCAATCTGCACTAGAGATCTGAGATTTCTGCTTTGTCACCAAAGCACCGGAGGGCAGGACGAGAAACAATGGTTGGAAACTGATCAAGGAGAGAAGCAACCTGGAATTAAGGAGAAGTTTCCTGACAGTGAGGACAATTAATCAGTGGAACAACTTGCCACCAGAAATCGTGGGCGCTCCATCATTGGAGGTTTTTAAGACAGGCTAGACAGTCACCTGTCTGAGACGATATAGGTTCTCCTGCTTGAGCGGGGGGCTAGACTAGAAGACCTCCAAGATCCCTTCCAGCTCTATTCTATTCATTTTTCTACGTACTAACCAAGTGCTTCCCTCTTTAATTTTTTTCATGCCAGCTAGGCACTGCTGTCCATTTGGTTGTTTGTCTACAATGGTCAGCTAGGTGCTGCCCTCTAGCTGACCATACCTTCCTTCCTTCCTTTTTCTTTTTTTTTCTTACATTCATTTGTGTCCAATTCTTTGCCTAGACAAGTCCCTACGGGGTTTTTTTTTGCAAGTTTTTTCAGAAGTGGTTTGCCATTGCCTCCTTCCTAGGGCTGAGAGAAAGTGACTGGCCCAAGCTCGCCCAGCTGGCTCTGTGCCCAAGTGGGGACTAGAATCCATGGTCTCCCATTTCTAGCCTGATGTGTTCACCATTGCACCGAGCTGGCTCTGTGTACCTCTAAGTTGCCATCGAAATGCTACAAGAAGTGGTATGATCTTTCCAGATGTCCAGAACACACCATCCCTGAACGTGTGACTGAAACAGCCTCAGAAAGAAGCAGGAATGTCCGATAATTCAGCTGTACCAAAGGCAGGCAACGTTTGGGAGCTGGGCACAAGTTTGAAACTTGGAAAATGAGTTTGTGGACATGCCCCACAAATGACTGTTGTGGCAGGCCTGCCTAGAGAGGACCAGGTCAGTTGCAAGACACCCATTTCCCAGAAAGTACAATAATCCTCGGAATGTTTTCTCCTTCTGTGACCTTCCTGCAAATTATATGATGACATTAGAGGTTGAGAGTTTAGTTTGCCAAGAGAATGCAATGGATTTTTGCATGTCGGACTTGAACTAAGGAGACCCAGATTCGAGTCCTCGCCCAACCACAGAACTGAAACTTCTGCGGCCTATATAGTTTGTTTATCCTGGCTGCAGTGCAGTTAGCTGAGAGTAAGTCCCACTGTATCCAAAAGAGTAAATTTTGGACCGCCTGCCCCTCTTAGATTTCATGCAAAAGCTTTCCCTCGTCATCTCCAGATTATTCCAAACCTACATTCTGTCGTCGTTGGCCTGAATACCAGGCTGGGGGTCCACAGACATGGCTCTCAAAAGAGGCCCAGGGTGTAGGAACTTCATGCTGGTTCCTCCTGAGCTGCTTTTTGGGCTGTTGAGCTCCAGGGCTTCTGTTACCCCACCGGTCTTCAGCTGAGGGGATGGAAAGAGGAAAGAAGAGTTTCAAAACGGATGCGAATGGGCACCAATTGGAAATATCTAACATTGGGTTTTGGGAAGAACAGGAGGAAATCAGAGCTTCTTGGAGAAGAGAGAGGAGAAAGCATGCATCCAGTTTTGGTCACCACGATGTAAAAAAAGATGTTGAGACTCTAGAAAGAGTACAGAGAAGAGCAACGAAGATGATTAGGGGACTGGAGGCTAAAGCATATAAGGAACGGTTGCTGGAATCGGGTATGTTCAGTTTTGTTGGAAGAAAAGTCTTCATCATGGTTTACAATCTGCATTTGTACAGAGCTGGTTTCTGCTTGGGGGAGGGAGACCTGGGGCTGTCAAGGAAAATTGGGCATGCTTTCCTGCCTCTTTAAGATCCTCAGAGGAAATATATTTTTCTGCCCTTTAAATATTTCCTTCTCTGGGGGGCTGACTTCCCACAGTTTAATGAAGAGAAGGACGAGGGGGGACATGATAGCAGCCTTCCAATATCTCAGGGGCTGCCCCCCAAAAGAGGGAGTCAAGCTATTCTTTGGGGAACCTGAGGGCAGGACAAGAAGCAACGGATGGAAACTAATCAAGGAGAGAAGCAACCTAGAACTAAGGAGAGATTTCCTGACAGTTAGAACAATTAACCAGTGGAACAACCTGCCTCCAGAAGCAGTGAATGCTCCAACACTGGAAGTTTTTAAGAAGAGACTGGACAGCCATTTGTCTGAAATGATATAGGGTTTCCTGCCTGAGCAGGGGGTTGGACTAGTTGACCTCTAAGGTCCCTTCCAACTTTATTATTATTATTATTATTATTATTATTATTATTATTATTATTATTATTATTAGTAGTAGTAGTAGTAGTAGTAGTAGTAGTAGTAGTAGTAGTAGTAAAAACATATATACTCATTCTGGTGATGAAGATGCTGGACTAGGATATGAACAAGAGGGACCCATCTCACAGGGTCATTTTGTGGGGAAAATAGGAGGGAGGCAGAATTAGTTTGTACACTCTCTTGACAAATAAATCCAGATAGTCCTTGACTTACGGTCACAACTGAGCCCAACCTTTCTGTTGCTAAGTGAAACGGTTAAGTGGGTTTTGCCCCCTTTTACAACCATTCATCCTGCAGTTGTTAAGTGAACCTGGCTTCCTCATTGACTTTGCTTGTCAGAAAATTGCAAAAGGCGATCACATGACCCCGGGTCCCTGCAACTGTCATAAGTACGTGCCAGTTGCGAAGCCTCCAAATTTTGATCACGTGACCATGGGGATGCTGCAATGGGGTCGTAAGGGTGAAAAATGGCGATACGTCCCTTTTTTTTCAGTACTGTTGTAACTTTGAATGGTCTCTAAACAAACGGTTGTTAACTGAGAACCCTGACCTTCAGCAGAAACACCTGAGTGCTTACCTGTGATGGAAAAGGACTCTTTGAAGGAAGGGCATTTTCCACACCGATCTCCTCCAGCCCAGCGGCCAAAAGAGACGGAGAGAAGGACACACGGTTCCCGCTGGAATTTTCTGAGTCTTGGCCAGGAAAACTTGAGCTTCCTGTCTCCACAGAGCTGCATCGGAAGCCTCCATCAACGCCTCTGTATCGGGAAGGCAAACTCCGAAATCCAGTCCACTTGCGGAGTAACATTTAAGAGCGGAGAATCCCAGGGAAACGTATCTTTCCTGAGCGATGTGGCCAGATCAGTGTGGTGATCCAGTCTGAAGTTTGGGCTGATGGAGGTTTGTGAATCCAGTCTGAAGAACCTAAAAAAAAAACAAAACCGAGGACCCAAAATAGAGGGGAAGGAAAAATTTCCCCAAAATTAGCATTTTAACCCAATGCACGAAAAAGTTTCTTCAGAACGGAATGAAAATCTCACAATCGGGACATTTAAAACAGTCTATGGAGATTCTCAGTCATCCAGGTCGTGGTTGTCCCAGAGGTGCTTTTTCAAAAGGCAACTGGACTTTCTTCATTTTTCCTTGAAGATATTTCACTTCTCACCCAAGAAGCTTCTTCAGTTCTGAACTGAAGAACTGAAGAAGCTTCTTGGATGAGAAGCGAAACATCTTCAAGGAAAAACGAAGAAAGTCCAGTTGCCTTTTGAAAAAGCACCTCTGGGACATTTAAACAGTCTCCAATTTGTTCCTCCAAACTATGTTCAAAAATTCACATTCTCTACCCTCATAGACCAAAGCTTCATTCTTATAACATACTTTTGACTGCAGACAATGAGGTAATTGGTTCAAATTTCCTAAATGTAGTCATAAATTCACTAGATGGCTTCAGTTAAGTCATCACTCTGCCAAGCAGTCTTTAAAAGAGATGGTTCAATTTATTAAACAATCCAAGATAAGTGCATTATTTCATTCAGCCAATTGTTTTACAGTTCTTTAGTAAAGTATCTGCAAATGTTTTATGTAATATTAACATCTGCAAATGTTTTATGTAATATTAATTTATTGAACTGTTTTATCTAAGGCCAAATTTTAGATTATATTTGTATTTTCATAGCTGGATCTTTTGATCATAAGTAAACTTTCCCTTTATTTCAAGAGAAAACATCAACAATACAATACAATACTATTCAGTAAATCAAGAATGCAAAACAAAGATTTGCTGATCTAAGGCTAAAGTGATACACATGCAGGAACCTACAAGAAAAGGAATGGAAAAAAAAACCTAAAGAAAGGAAGCAGCTTTTGGTGGATGCAATAAAGAGAAGGCGGACTTTGTGGGAGTTTTACCTGGAAAAATTCTGCTAAAGAGGACAAAGAAACCGAATGCCCAACTTGAACCAGGAACTATAGCAGAGTCACTGTTGGGAAGAGATCCCAGGAAAAAACAGATTCTCACATTCAGCCAAAACTCATGCGTCTGTAGAGGGACAGTTCCTTAACCAGGGAGCAAAACTAGAAATTATTCTAATTAGAAAGCTACCTTTTTCCAGATGTGTTGAGCAAATGAGCCCAGCGTTCTGTTAAAGGGGAGATCGCAGACAAAAGTGATTTTAAAAAGCAATTATCATTCCTGCTTACCTCCTAATAATCAGGGCTGCCCAGTGCAGATCTCACAATAAGTGGGGAGTGAGCAACAATCTCCCCACTTGATCAAGCTGGCTTCTGAGAGCACTAGCTTTTTCCCATGCCAAGAGGAACAAGGCAGTTGCTACTATGGGAACTGTGGTGGCAACTAATCTCGCTGCTTACTTGCTTTCAGTTGTTCAGGAAACTGGGAGTTTTGAAACATGGGCACCTGCCAGGTAAGAAGAAGTGGAAAAGTGCCAAGAGGAAGAAGGTAAACTTTGCCGGGTGTTCTTTAAGCTGTGAAGATGGGCAGTGGCTTCGCTCGTTCCTTACAAGCAAAAACAATCAAAAGTCACTGTAAGGGATGATGTGTCAAAAATAGCATTTGGAAAACCACAAAGAAATAAAACAAATTTTGAGTTCACTGACCTTCGTCAGCAGACTAGATTATTAAAACTTCCAAAGACAAAATGTGGAGTTAACAAATAAACAAGTGCGGACTTTATGATGCCATATTGGTTTGATGAATAAAGTGGTGGGATTTAACACGGTTCTTTTGAATAAACAATTGACCAGAATCGTACATGGCATGGAGCCATGTATAAATCAGATGGCTCTGTTCATATATTAAGTCCAAGCTAATGGTCTGTTTGCATAATGATCAGCTGAATCACAAACGCTAGTTGTTTGGAGTCACAAGGGTGTTAAATAATAAAGCTAGCCATGCCAGGTTGAGTCGCACAGCTTCATTCACATGATGCATTTAATCAGTTGAAGATTTAGTAGCTGTATAATGTGTTTAGTTAACTTACCCAAAAGAAATACCATTTCATTCAAGTACAGTGCAGCGTCTTCTGTAAATGCAGAAGAGAATTAATTCAGCATCCAGGGCAAGCCTGTGGGGTCTGAATGAAACCACAAGTCTCCAATTAACCATCTTCTTCTTTTGCCCAGGCCATGAATGGAGCTAATGTGGCTTAGCCTGTTGTGACCTGCTGAGAAGGAACGTTTCACCAAACGTTTATCTACAAACTGTCAAAACGATATAAAGGAAAGGGGACATAAATGTGCAGCAATGCTTTGCAGCAGGATTTGGTTAAGTCCTACTGCCTTAAATAGTGCTTACCTATAGCTAAGTACAGGTACAGTTGAGCCCAAAGTTCCTGTTGCTAAGTGAGACATTTGTTAAGTGAGTTTTGCCCCATTTGACGACTTTTCTTGCCACAGTTGTTCAGATAGCCATCTAGTTTCCTAATTATTTATATAAAATTATTATATAACGTTGGAATGGCTTCCCAGTTGACTCCCACCTCAAAGGCTTTCTGGGAGCTGTTCGAAAGGCATTTATGCACTGGTTCCATCTCAGTTTGGGCATAGTTTTGCCTTAGTTGATTTAATTTTGTATACTGACTTTTAATTGGTTTGGAGACCCTTTTAATTAGTGTGTGGAGCTTTCCTTTGCACACTTGGTTTATTGTCCCTATGTGTCTTTCTCATAAGTTGCCAGAGCCCTTAGAGATTCGGCAGTCTATACATTGCAACAATAACAACCACAACAGCAATAATAATAACACGTCTCCTGTGACTCTATGCTTCCTTGCCGCAGTCCTCCAATACCACTAAGCCGGACGTCTAGAGCGGCTGATGCTATCGACCAGGCGTGGCGTCCGGCCAAGGGGAGGACATCGGCGTTAGCCGCTCTAGCCCGCACGACGACCGCCAGCGAGATTCTTCCCCCGCCCCTTCACAGCGCTTAGAACGCCCGAGTGCGCCTGCGCGCAAGTGTCGTTTTCGTCGTAGGTGGCGGAGGAGCCGAGTCGGAGGCCTCGGAGGGGCCGGAAACAGCGGTGAGGGACGGGGCTCGTTCGGTACTCGGGGCGCTTATGAAGCGGAGAGGGCGGGGTAGAAGCGGGAAAGCCGTCGCCTGCGACGACGGGCCTAGTCAGAGTAGCCGGGCCCGCCGCTTCTGAGGGGAGCTTGAAAGGAAGGGCGGAGCTTGGCTTCCCTCGCAGGAGAGCGGGCCACGCCCCTCCAAAGGCCTCACCGTTCTATTCCCCCCCCCCTCCGGGACTGCCACGAATTCGGTCGCCCAAATCTCGCGGGAACTCCGGCGCAGCGCCGCGGCTGGAAGCAGATGTGGACGGTCCCTTCCGCCCGCCGGACGGGTCCCCGATCCCCGAATGCGGCTTTTGTGGTTCCTGATCGCGCCCGGGACCCCCGCCGGGTAGAGGGGGCGAGGGTAAGGGGCTTAAGGGGCGGCCCGGAGCTGGCTTTCCACCGGCAAACCCCGCTTTGTGGCCGCCCGCGCCGGTCGGTGCAGGGCCGTCCCGCGGGTGTGGCTCGGCCTCCTCCTCCGGGATCTCTCCCGAGGGCCTGGCCTGGTGCGGGGGGCGCTTTGGGAGTGGGCAAGGCCGGGACCCGCTGGGGAGAGGGCCAATTCGGGGGTCAAAGGGGTTCTTTGCTCCTCCTGAACCTGCCTAAAGATAAAAAGTACCGTCATGAAATGTGTGTACTGCAAAGATGGCCCCGGATTTTTTTTAAAAAAAAAATCTTGCTCCTTATGGAAGCCATGATGGTTATGTTCTGGCTGGTTGGGTTTTACCCATCTTGGTGCAAACAGACTCCCCCCCCCCGCCGCCCGTCGTCTTTAAAAGCACGACACGCCAGGTAGTCCTCAAATTATGACCCACAGCTTGAGCCCGACATTGATCTTGCTAAGCGAGGAATTGGTTAAGCAGGTTTTGCCCCCTCTGTCCATTAAGTGAATCACGGCAATTTGTTAAATTAGTGACCGGGTTGCGAATTGAATCTGGCTTCCTCTCCCCCCCCTCCCTTGACTTTGCTGGTCAGAAAGTCTCAAAAGGGGATCGTGTCAGTTGTCAAACATCCTGATGTAAATCACGTGACTGTGGCGATGCAACGGTCATTAAATGTGAAAAATGATCAAAAAAGGGGATTGTGTCAGCTGTCATAACTATGAGTCAGTTGTCAAACATCCTGATGTAAATCACGTGACCATGGCGATGCTACAGTGATTAAATGTGAAAAATGGTCATAAAAGTCGGGTTGTTTTGCTTTTTGCGATGTGAACCAATGACGCATCCTTGGGGTGAACTGGGCCTTTGGTTCTTTTGCTTTGCTTGAATGGCTTACCTACATCCTCTCTTCAGCCTTCTGACCACTGTCCAGGTGTGTCATAGTACAGGTGTAATGTACACATCTGATGTGCATCAGTTTGGAAAGGTTGTTCGTAGTTAGTAGTAGTCAATTCAATATGGTAGTGACTGCTGTTTTTAGGATATGTGCTTTGAACAAAGGTGCATTTTGTTATTTGAGGGTCAAATATATAAATACCTTGCATGCTCTTTTTACAAACTGTACACTTAGTTTCTTAGATGTATAGGTTTTATGATCATACATCAGTTACTATTTTGTTAAGTTTGCTTTTATGTAAACCTTTATTGTAAGAGTTGTGTGGAAATTTCCAGGGGAGAGAGAAAATATTAGATAAAGGACACTATTTTCTTTCTTTTTTAATCTCATTAGAGTCCTGTATCCCCAGTTCTATAGTTGTGATTTTGAGAATAAATTAGAGACTAGAATCTGGTTACCGGGCTTAGCTCTCATTGGGAGTGGTGGAATTTTTTTGTTTTAACATAATTGTTTTGTTGACACTAGTATGGAAGAATATCTGGCTGGAATGACAGCTTTGCTATATGAGTAACCAT